AGTCGCCACCGCTTCGTCCTCCCCGTCAGGATCATCAGCAAGAACGACGCCCCGCAGATCAAGCTCCCGCCGGGGAAGGTCCTACGCCTGGCAGCGGGGACGGCGATCACGCTCACCACCAATATTATTTCCGTCGAAGACAACGACAGCGCGCCCGAGAAGCTGAGGTGAGTGGAAGGGGTTGGGGGGGGGATGGGGGGAATTTGTGTGGGGGTGGGGGTGGGAAAGGGGTGTGTGGGGGGGGTTGGGGAGAGGGGTGTGTAGGGGGGATTGGGGTTGGGGAGAGGGTGTGTGTGGGGTGGGGGGGAAGGGTTGTGTGGGGGGGTAGGGGGGGAAAGGGATGTGGGGTGTGGGGGGGGGGAATTTTGGGAAAGAGGTGTGTAGGGGGGGTTGGGGAGAGGTGGGGGGGAGATTTTGGGATAGGTGTGGGAGGGGGGTTGGGGAGAGAGGTGTGTAGAGGGGGGTGGGAAAGGGTGTGGGTGGTGGGGGGAGATTTTAGGAAAGGTGTGGGGGAGGGGGGTTGGGGAAAGGAGTGGGGTTTGAGGGTGGGGGAGGATGTTAGGGAGGAATTTGGGAAAGGAGTGGGAGTAGAGGTGTGGGAGGAATTTCGGAGGATTGGGAAAGGAGTGGGGGTTGTGGGGGGCCTTTCGGGGGGACTTGTGGGGGATTGGGGAAAGGTGTAGGAGGGTTTGGGGGAATTGGGAAAGGAGTGGGGGGCGAGGTTGTGGGGAGGATTTGGGGGGGAAGGGATTTGGGAAAGGAGTGGGGTGGTGAGGTTGTGGGTGATTTGGGGAAAAGTGGGGTGTGTGGGGGCGGGAGGATTTAGGGGGATTGGGGAAAGGTGTGGGGGTGTGGATGTGTGTGTAGGAAATTTGTGAAGGGCTTAGAGTAAGATCAAGCGAGCGTGGGGAATGTATAGGACGTGAGAGTGCGTTGGATAAGGTGAAGAAAAGTGCGAAGGATAAACTAAGATTAGTGTGAGTGTGTGAGAGTTTTCAGGATAAAGTGAGGTAAAGTGGTGTGGAAGGCGTAAAATGCGTAAGAGTGCGTTGGGATAAGGTGGTGTGAGTGATTTAATTTGCTGATGAGAGTGTGGCTGCAATGGGAAGTAACCGGTACTCGTGGTTTAATGTGTAAAATGTGCTCACGATTAGTTTCCAGATAACGTGCCGAGGGGAAGGGTGTACGTATATGGTTTTATCCCTTCTCCTCCTAGTCTCTCTCATCAGCTCCTCGTCTCTCTTTAACTCTCCCTTCTCGTTGGCCTCTCTCATCCTCTCTTTACTCTACTTCGTCCAGTCCTTATCGCATGGTTCTCCTGGAAACTTCTCCATCCATCTTCTCTAATTCTTTAATTATTTTACTTTCACGCTTCTCTATTAATCCATTTCTGCTCCTCCACTCTCTCAATCCCTTTCCTCTCCTCTTCTCTTCCCTTTTCCCTTATCGCTTCCCTTTTTCCTTCCCTTAATATTTTCCCTTCCCTTTCTCCTCTCCGTTCTCTTCTCCTTCTTCTTCCCAGTATCCCTGTATACGATGTGTAAAGTTTCCGCGCGTTCCTTCCTTAAGTTCCCTTCCTTCCCTTCCCTTCCCTTGCCTTTCCCTTCCGCTTCCTTCGCTTCCTTCCTTGGCCCTTCGCCTTCACCCTTAACCTTCGCCCTTCCACTCTCCTTCCCTTCCCTTGACTCTTCCTTCCCGACGTTGCCCTTCCCATGGTCCCACTTTTGCGCCCGATCCA